GAAATTTACCTAATGATGTTAGTTATGTGCTCAGGTGAATTTTTGTTATATGAAGTGTGACTCCTTTCTAGAATAGATGCATCTTAAGGCCAAAAACTGTCTGACTCAGGGTTCCCCTGTCCCATGGGGTAAATACAACACCAGTTGTTTGACTTAATAACCTTTAGTGCTGATGGTTTGTATTTAAACTGCCGGGAATGCTGCCTGTCACTCACTGTCCTAGATACAGGGAGCACAAAGATGAGGAAGACACCTCTCCACTAAGGAGCTGTCAGTTCGGTGAGGACTATAGACAAGGATCAATAATCCAAGGCATAAAGTGTCATCATGGTATTTGCAGGGCACTACAGGAGCAGAAGAGGAAGTGTTGCCTTCTCTTGCCCAGAGTTGTTCAGTCCCATTAATGAAGCAGAAACAGTTCCAAAGAATTTGATCAACTAAGAGCCAAAATTTCTCTCTGCTGAGGCATTCTCATAGGTCTTGTTTTTCAACTTCAGGTTGTAGATTAGATTGACCCAGTGGGTGGGGAGAGAGAGAAAGGAGAGCGGCCACTAAACATGAACCAGTGAAGGAAAGTTGGTATGAGGGACAAAGGTGTGTCGGGATTTCCAGTAGCAAGGATCCCAGCTCAGTAGGAAGGGAATCAGGATGAGTCTGCCAGAATCCTTTCTCCCCACTGAGCTCATCTTGGGTTCAGCCCACCTATGGGTCAAACCACAAAACCCTTTAAATGGAGGGAAGGGGACCTTGGGCGAGAATAACTCCTTGACCAACACCCAGTGACACTTCTGTAAGCAGGAGTCACAGACCCACCGCTATTGTCATGTTACATGTATTCCATGTGCTCAGGTAGTGTTTTTTTTTTTTAATGGAGTCATTATATACGAACCATTCTTCATCTTGCTTTTTATTAATTTTCTGTCTTTGTAATATTCTGCGGATCAATTTTCATACCAGTTCATACAGTGTCATCTCATTCTTTTAAAGAGACTCATAGAATTCCATTGTATAAAGATACACAGTTATTAACTTATCTACTACAGAAGGATATTTAAAGTTTATTTCCCTTCAAGTTTTTGTTTAGACAATGCTGCTGTTAATATACATGTGTACGTTATGTTTTATTGATTCTCAGATGCCAAGAGATAGTGCTCTAGTTTTGTAGTGGCACTGGTGTCTGGTTATGTCCCCTTTCAATGGCTTTCTTCCCTCCTCCCCCAACTTTCTTTTCTTATTAGTGTTCCCAAAGAAACTTAGCAGTAATTTCTTTCTGTTCATGGAGTGTACTAAGCTGGTTTCTGCTCAGGGGACTTTGTCCTGTGGTTCCCTTTGTCTGACCCCTCTTCCTCTAGACCTTGTGACTCACTCTTCTGCTTCTGCTCACATGTCATCTCCACCAAGGGCCTTCCCCAGCCATCCTGTCTAGCTTCTGCAATGCTCTTCTTCACAGTCCTCACCAGAGTGCACATATGTTGTATTTGTGGCTTATTTGTGCTCTTTCTCTCCCATGGTAAGCTCCATCAGACCAGGGACTTCCTTTTCTCACCACCTTATCAAACCATGAATATACCTGGTGCATGGTAAAAACTTTTAGAATATTTGTTAACAAATGAGTGAATTTTTCAGGTTCCAAAAAAGGTCCACTAGAATTGCTGTGGGAGTACTTTACACTTGTGCATTAACTGATGTGGAGAATTGACACTTTTTTACTTTTGGGGTTTTCTGTTTAAGGACATGACATTTCTCTCTGTATTGTTTTCTTGCATGTTCTAAAACATTAAGGCTGGGCATTCTGGTGCATGCCTATAATCCCAGCTACTTAGAAGATAGGGAGATCTGAAGGACTGTAGTTCAGGCTGGCTGGGCAAAAAACATGAGACCCTACCTGAAAAATAACTAAAGCACAAAAGGACTGGTGGAGTGGCTCAAGTGGTAGAGCACCTGCCTAGCAAGTACAAGGTGCTTCAAACCCCAGTACCACCAAAACCAAACACACACACACACACACACACACACACACAAACAACAGCAAACAACCCTTCATTTGATATTTCTGGTTAGATTTAATCTCTAGCTCTTTGAAGTTTGTTTGTAGTGTCCTCTCTCCTGAATTGGGATCTTTTGATTTTTCTCTTCTATTTTGTTACTTGTATTAGTGTAACATGCTGGTGTGACAAATTGTTGTGAATTTATTGGTTTAAAACAACACAAATTGACTGTTGCATAGTCTGGAGGTCAGAAGTCTGAAATCAGTTTCACTGGGCTGTAGGCAAGGTGTAAGCAGGCCTGGTTTCTTTCGGGGATCAAGGAAAGACTTCATTTCCTCACCTGCTCTGGTTTCCAGGGCCTGCCTATATTTCTTAGCTTGTGGCCCCACCTTCTATCTTTAAAGCTCATCAGTTTAACCTCTGCTTCCATCCTCAAACTTCCCCCACCCCCACCAGAGTGTCTTTCTATATAACCTAGGCCAGCATGGAACTCTTGATCCTCCTGCCTCTCTGCTTCCTGAGTGCTGGGATTACAGGTGTACCACACCTAGACTTGTATCATCTTTCTTTAGCCACGATCTTCTTCTGCTTCTCTCTCTCTCTAAGGATCCTTGTAATGCATTGAGCCCATCTGGGTAATGCAGGATAATCTCACTATCTTAATCACCTCTTCTACCAAGTCCTTCTACTATATGAGGTGACACTTGCAGGTTCCAGGGGTTAGGATGTGAACATCTTTGGGGTGTCATTATTCAGAATGCCATATTTTTTTCCTGTAGGTATAAAGAAAACAATTTTTAGTATGTTTTTGTAATTGGGTGCATTTTGCCAAACTCCTATTATTTCGTGTGTGTGTGTGTGTGTGTGTGTACACATATATATATCTTTTCCTGTGGTACTGGGGTTTGAACTCAGGATCTTGTGCTTGGTATGTAGGTGCTCTTCCACTTGAGCCACATCTCCAGCCTTTATTGTTTTGGTTATTTTTTTGAGGTAGAGCCTCTCTTTATGCCTGGGTGGGCCTGGACCATGATCTGCCTATTTATGCTTCCCGTCATAGCTGGGATGACAGGTGCACATCAGCACACCCAGCTTTTATTGGTTGAGATGGGGTCTTTAACCTTTTGCTTGGGCTGGCCTTGAACCATGATTCTCCTAATCCCTGCCTCCCTAACAGCTAGGATTAAGAGCTTGGGTCACTGTGCCTGGTGGCCTTTTGTATTTGTTTTTAAACAGTTTCATGTTTGGTTTCCAGTTGATTCTCTGAGACCTGCTGGCAGTTTTGGCATTTGTTCTTAATTTTGGTGTTTTACTTCATTGTTTTCTTGCCTGCTTTTCCACATTGTCTGCAATATCCTGACTAATGCTAGGTAAATAGCTGTCAGACCAGGTACCTTGTATTGTTCTTAGCTTTATAAGAAATTGCTTCATTGTTTTACCTCTGAGCATGGTGACTTCTAATAAGCACTATTAAATTAAGGAGTTCCTATGAAGCTAACTTGTAGTTAAGTAGGATTTTAAGTCAGGAATGTATATTAAATGTATTATGAATACAGAAGTAATCATTTGGTTTTTCTCTTTTAGTCTATGAATAGCTTTTTCAATAATGATCCTCTTTGTATTCCAGGAATAAGTCTTCCTTGGTCACAGTGTATTGTTCTTTAAATATGTCACTTATACCAGGTGCCAGTGGCTCACACCTGTGATCCTAGTTACTCAGGAGGCAGAGATCAGGAGGATTGCATTCGAAACCAGCCTGGGCAAAATGTTTGTGAGACCCTATCTTGAAAAAATCCATCACTAAAAAGGGCTGATAGAGTGGCTCAAGGTGTAAGCCCTGAGTTCAAACCCCAGTACTGAAAAATAAGTAAATAAATAAACCACTTACTTTTCTTTGCTCCCATGCATGTTGGAGTTTGGTGTCTGTATTAAAAAGAGAGTTTGGCATAGTGTGGTTAGTCATTGGTCGTACCATCCTTATACAGCTAGGGCATTTCGGATTACCTAGTCACATTGAATGAATTTGGAAACTTTCCGCTTTTTCTCTGATATGGAATGATTACAATACTATTGCTAGCAGTAGCAGTATTAACAGTATTAAATATTATTTCTGTTTCGAATGATTCAGAAACAGGGTTCCTTTGATCACTACTTCAAATCTCCATGACCACCTTCTGTATCAGCAGTGGGGTTCATTACCCTGAGCTCTCTGTACTTCCTTACCTGGCCTGTCTTGCAACATCCAAAGTGTAGTTGTGACCTGTGGAGCAGGTTTTCTCTGTGCAAAAATGCTCAATCCATACGGAGGGATCACTTGGCTTCATTCACAGAATTAAGGGGTTGCATAATACAGCCTGGCCTCCCATGGGAGTTGTCCTTATAAGTCATTAATCATCACAGAGTTCCTATGAAACTTTTTAGCAAATCTGATGTATTCTTTCCAGTTTAGGGACAGGGATCATTTTTAAAGGATTTTATCTCTGATATCAAGAGTCTTGAATAAGTAGTCTGTTTTAAAAGCTTGAAGGGTGTGCCCATAATAAGCTTTACCAAATCTGGACTAACCCTCAAATTGGTTACCAAGAAACTGAGCAGGGGCCAAGAAATGCTGATTTGACCCTAAGAGATGTGGAAATCCAAACCAAGAGAACCCCTACTTTCATTGGAAAAGCACAACTGCTTAAGGTAGCATTTTTCAGTTCCTCCAAGAGCAGTTCTCTACTGAGATGTTCCTCTCAGCTCAGAATTTCAGAGTATAAATGAGGATATCTAATGGCCAGGACAGTGAGTTATAATTTAAGTTTAGCAAACCAAGAGATTTCGCAATAAATAGACTTAATTTGTAAGAAGGAGCCTCTGTTTGTTGTCATCGGATCTTAAATCTTTAATCAGGACTGATTTACATAAATATAAAAGCGGGGTTTCTTGGTGTTATCCTTGAAAATGGTTCAATGAAAAGTTAGCGTTTTTTGCATAAGAGCGTAAATTGATTTCTCATTCTTCCCCCTACAGTAAAACAGACCATCACTAATATTTCAATATTTAATGAGACCTGCTTGAGATGGCGAAGTATGAAGACAGCTGATATAGAAGAGATGTATTTGGTAAATTATTGAAAGTTACTTTATTTGTAGATGTTCGTCTTGGGTGGGAGGCTTAAAAAATGTTTGTAAGCCTAAAAACTACTTTTGTAGCTGTCATTGCCAAAAGATTTATCGTGATGATTTATCAGCCACTTGTGCTGTGTATTTGAAGAGAGAGACCTTAAGAAGAGATGAGAAAGCCATGAGTTTCTTGGGCCACTCGTCCTGGTGCAGTTAATGCACAGGCAGTTTATGGACAGCTGTCTCTGTTCACACCTCTGTTGCTGACCACAGTCTACATGTGTTACCTGGAGAGTCAAGGGCAGGTTTGGAAGTCGGACGTGGTTGTAAGAAAGAGAAAAAACATGGAATGAACTGCCACTGGAAGGACTTAAGTAGGAAGAAGAGGGTGTCTCTGATCAGGTGCTAGAATGTTACAGGAACATGTAAGGTCATTTGAAAGGGATGGGCAGAGGAGAAAAGGCCCTCCTGACTTCTGCCAGGATTGGGAATATCCTAGTTTAGGTCCTGCTTAGTTCAGATTTTCAATTTTCTTCTGCCAGAAGCCTTCCATGTTGGGCATGTGAGAACAAGGAAGAGCAAGTTGCCAATATGGAGGCCTCAGTCTTTTGTGTACTTTTATTAAAAAATATATTTAGTATCCACAAAATATTGTAACCACAATATATATAATATTGCAAGTTTACTGTTTGCTTTCTGTCACATTTACTTTTTAGTGGTACTGGGGTCTGAACTTAGGGCTTTGTGCTTGCTAAGTAGGTGCTCTACCACTTGAGCCATGCTCTCAGCCATACTCTACTTTTGAAGAAACTAAAGTTGAGAGAGAAAGAGGGAGGGAAGGAGGGAGGGAGGAAGAGATAGAGAGAGAGAGAGAGAGAGAGAGAGAAGGAAAACTCATAAGTGTAGGCATTGAACCATTTTGAACCTTTTAAACCATCAATTCACCCTGTGAGATTTTTTATATTTCAGTTCTGCATTTGGGGCCAGAGATGGTATCAGAAGGAATTTTACCAGGAAATGATCTTTAATACCACTACCAGCAGCCAGGCCCCTGAGATATGCTTGGACCTGCATCCGGGTACAAACTACAATGTCAGCCTCCAGGCTTTGTCTACAGAAGTCCCTGTGGTCGTCTCTCTGACAACCCAGATAACAGGTAAATCTTGAATAACAGCAGTTGGATGAAGGAAGTCACCTAAGAACTGTTGATAGGTCAGACTAAAGAGGAACACTGTTGCTTTCTGTCATTATATAATGGGCTTTGAAGGAGAAGAAAGGACTGGGAACTGGAGAGAGAGGGCTTGCAACTGTGTCTATAATGTCTTATTTATTGAAAAAAAAAGATATTTGAAACAAAATGTTAGCACTGATTAAATCTGAATATTGGTTAAATTTCTCTTGGAGGTTTGAAACATTTAAAATACCTCATAGTAAAAAAAATATGTCCTGTTGCTGTTTCCTAGTAGCATATTAAATGGGCTTTCTGGTGCACGAACCTTAAGAGTACGTTATTATCAGGGCAAAATGATTGGCAGTCTCACTATAGACACCTAGCAAATTCACTTTCTGTCCATTTTCTCTGCTGTGAACTCGGCTTCCTCCTCAGCCCCAGCCAGCACTAAGGGTACTATTAGTTTCTTGTTTCACTGAGAAATTAAAAGTAATCAGGTGAGGACTTTTCACCCCAATCTTCCATTCTTACCTGAATCCATGTATTTTATCTTCCTTCCCAGCCCTGCTCCATCTAAAGCTGCCATTGGGCCCCATTTCTTCTTGCCTAATGAGCAGTTAGTGTCAAGCATCTTGTGATAGCTCCCTTATTAATGATAAGAAAGAAAAAACACATTTCCTTTGAGCCCATGTTCCCCTCCAGCTACTTTGCCTTTTCCCAGTCTCTTTTTATATTAAAACTCCTTGAAAGAAACATCTGTTTTATAGGCTCTGTGTTCTTACCTCCCATTTTCCTTTACCTCATTCTGTTCAGGAAGCACTCTTACTGCTTTCTGGAAAGATTCTCCATTCAACCTCCATCTTGTCAACTCCAATGGGCAATATTTTTCTTACCTAATTTTCTCTACAGCACTTGACACTCTTCCTTCTCCAAACATCCATTTCTTTGCTTTGGTTCCCTATACTTTCCTCTTCCTCTTCTTCTCCTCCCCCTCCTTCTTCTTCGCCTAGGTAATCTCTACCAGTCTCATGGCTATAACTATTTCCAAATATATATTCCTAATCCCAACCTCTTCTCTGGACTCTAGAATCATATATCCACCCATCTTCTAAACATACCTTGTTGAGTGTGATAGACACAATTTTTAATTTCTTACCTCTTCCCTTACCCTCAACTCCACTTCCCATGTTGTTATCTATAACTCAGTTATTGGCATGCATCCAGTTAACTGCTCAGGCCAGAAGAGTTGTAAGTAATTCTGTTCCACTCCCAAATTTCAAATCCATTATCAGACCCCATTGGGTTGGTGATCAAAATATATTTCAAATTCAACCACTTATTCCCATCTTTGTCTTTGTTACTGCTAACCTGATCCAAGCAGCAACTGCTTGCTTGGACTCCTGCAGTAGCTTCCTGTGTTTTTGTTGTTGTTTTTGAGACAGGTTCTCCCTATGTAGCCCAGGCTGGCCTCTTTCTTCCCAGGTAGCCTAGGCTGGCCTGGAACTTGCAAGTCTCTTGCCTCAGCCTCCAGAGTACTGGGATTCCAGACATGCACCACCATGCCTAGTTGCAGTAGCTGTTTTCTTGCTTCCACTCTTGCCTATCACCCTTCACTTCAGACCTCAGTCTCAGTCTTCAGCAGCCAGAGTGTTCTTTTAAAAATGAGTACAAGCCAGGCACAGTGGCATATGCCTGTAATCCCGGTACTTGAGAGGTTGAGGCAGGAGAATCTCAGATTCCAAGCTAGCCTGGGCTACATGGTGAAATTCTGTCTCAAAAAAACTCAACCAAACAGCTAAAAGAAACACCCTCCCCTCTGACACACAAAAAAATGAACAGAACATGCCAGTTTCCATTGAGGTTAGACTAGACAAGTTACGATGGAATTTATAATCTGGTCCTTGCCTACACTCTTTAATTCCTCTTATTTGCTCTCCTCATTTCTCATCAAATATCAGATGTCTCTCTGGCCTTTTTGCTATTCCTTAAATGGACCAAAGTTGCTCCTGAATCCACACTTTTCTGTTTGTTGTTAACTCTTTCCGGGATATTCTTTCTACATTTGTTTCTTCATGATCATTCAGGTGTCTGCCTAAATGTCCCCATCTTTGTCTCAGACCATTTTCTGTTGCTAGGTGTGAACCCTATAGACTGGGTAATTCATAAACAATAGAGGTGCATTTAGCTCATGGCTTTGGGTGCTGGGAAGTCCAAGAACCTGGTGCTGGTGTCTGCTTAGATCTGGTGTGGGCCTGCCTGCTGGGTCATGTCCTGACAGAGTGCATCACATGGTGAGGCAGAGCAAGAGTGACTGGGAGAGCTTGCTTTTATTCAAAGCTACTTTCTCAGTAACCCCTAATCCACTCACAAGGGTGGAGCCCTCATGACCCAATCACCTCCCAAAGGTCCTGCCTTTGGGATTATGTTTCTAACACATGAAATTTGGGAGATAGAACCCATATCACCCCAGGCTACTCTGATCACCCTTTCAAAAACCCCCTCCTCAATCTCTCCACATTATTCTGTATCCATTTACTTGCTCGAATTTCTTCAAACTCCTATTTTTAGGAGCTCTTCAAAGGCAGTGATTTTTGTCTCTGTTTTTCTATACTGTATCCCCCACAAATAAGAATGCTATTGCTATAGCACAATAAATACATTTTTTTGAATATGTCAAATTATTATTGGGTAATAATTGGTGATACCTAATTAGTCAATAAAGACTTTATACCAAGAAGAATTCACCACATTTTGTGCTGCAGAGACAAGTGATATTTGATTTAGCCATTCCTTATTGGCTTATTAGTTACCTACTGGTGACTTATTAAAAAGAGTAACTGTTCAGTCTCTTACTCTTTGGTCCTTGTCATATTTGGGTGAATTTCCTTCCTTCTTCCCTCCCTCCCTTCCTTCCTTCCTTCCTTGGTTTGAACTCAGGGCTTCATGCTTGCTAGGCAGGTGCTCTACCACTTGAACCATAACCTCAGCCCTTTTTGATGTAGGTATTTTTTGGGTAGGGTCTCATGTTTTTGTCTCAGGCCGGCCTTGGATTGCGAAGTAGCTGAGATTACAGGTGTGAGCCACCACACATGGTTCTCAGTGGATTGCATTTCTGATTTGAGTTAAGGTTTTATACCTTTTGAGTAGGAATTGGAGTTTCATTTTGAGATACTTATTTCTACCTTGTTTTATAGACTCAATATTGCCCTAGTCACTCAAACTCCCTAGTCTGTGATCATGGCCACAAGGGGGCACTGTTGAGCTGCTCAAGTTCATTGGGACCTTGAATCTAGTTAAAATCATTGAGATCCTGACTCTGCATTTTACTTTAGAGAATTTTCAGTTTAAAAAAAAAAAGCATGAAAATTCAAGTTAAGAATTTATTAAAGAGTGGGGAAGAAAAAGTCTTACAGAAGGGGGAGAAAAGGACCTCGTGTATTAATGTGAAAGAGGTCCTCTTCATTGCCTAAAGAGTGTGATTTGCTTCAGTAAAATCATGCATGAACTTTTGAATTTTACCAGAAACATTAGGCTACGGATTTGGGTCTGGAAAATGCAGCAGTCCATTTCCCAGAAGAAAAGTGAGCGGAATTCCCCTTCTGCGGGTGTTCCATAAAACTAAGTCTTCTGATGGGAACAGGATGAACACAAGAACTTTAAATGTGCTTCTGACCTCAGAGGTGGAAGCCTGAGGAACGCTGAGAGATGGGGGCAAGTGTTTCAGGGAGAGCTGGGAAGAGGGCTGAGGGGGGAGGGGGAGATTCTGTGGCAGGGTTTTTGGCTGGTGGCTGATGTGCTGCCTCAGGTGGCCTATTGAACTGAATTCTTCAGAATAGGCCCATTGTGGTTCATGCCCTTGTTTAGGTCAGAGTGGCGCAAGCAGACTTTCATCCCTTGCGTGAACTTTCACACATCAGGGTTGCTATTTTCTTGCCAAGTCTAAAAGCTCATAGACTTGAGCTTTTGAAACCATGTGGCCCACTCTACAGGAAAATGGACTGGATGGATCGTTTTCTTGAATTAACTTCAGCTTTTTATAAAATGTGTATGGGAAGGTTTCCTTATATCAGAAACCTAAAACCCAGAGTTTCTGTGTTTGTGGCAGGGGAGAGGGAGGGGCACGCAGAGGCCTAATAGTGTAATTTAGCAAATATTTATTGATGAGTTATATGCAAAGACCTGTGCAAAATGCTGAGTGGAATATAAAAATGAAGAGAAAATGATTCCTTCTCCAAGGGAGGTCAAGTCTGGAACTTTATTGATAGGGAAGGCCTGTCTAGCCTTGTGGTGGCTGATGATTTGTGATGGACACTACCGTTTCTTTCATTGCTATCAGTTTCAGTTGGTCCTGCCTTGGGTTGCATGGTGTATAGGGGAGGCACCTTAGGTGTCTATTTTTCTTCCTACTTTTTATTATAGAAATTTCAACTGGGTGCTGGTGACTCACACCTGTAATCCTAGCTACTCAGGAGGGTCACGGTTCAAAGCCAACCCGGGGCAAATAGTCCTCGAGACCCTATCTTGAAAATACCCAACATAAAACAGTGCTGGTGGAATGGTTCAAGTGGTAGAGCGTCTGCCTAGAAAGTGTGAGGCCCTGACTTCAAACTCTAGTACCACCAAAAAAAGAAAGAAATTTCAGAAAAGTAGCATTTTACCAGGTTCTCAAGAAATGGAGCTATGTTTTAACTCAACTCCTTGTGTTTACATGAAGTTTATAGTATAAAGTTGGGGACCTTTGTATAGTTTTGGTGCAGTTAAAATTTCCTTCTTTTTGGGTGTTTATTTTAGTGGATTTTAGGTAGAGGAATTTTAACACATTTGTACTTATATGATCTCCTTTTGATTTAATAATTTATCTTTATCACAGTATTAATCTTTTGCCATACATGTTACAAATTCCCACCCTAAGATTATTTACTCTTTGGTTTTCATTATTTTTTTTTTTCTCAATTGAACCTGGGTCTTTTCATTATTTTTTGACC